TTATACGTCGCATGAAATCCTCCACTTCTCCCTGTCCTTTTGACAAGATATCCATAATTTGCTCGAAACGTTGTCCTTACCTACGAACTTTCTTTACTAAAATTATTCATAGCATCTGGGTATCTGGTAATGTTCCATCCGAATGAAGAAAAGCATAAACGATGGTAATCCACAAAAAAGACAATACAGATGATCCTTCTAACTTCAGACCAATAACCTTAGAATCTTTTCCCTTAAAAATCATCACCTCCTGCCTACGTAACTCTATTTTCAACTTTCTGAACAAAATGGATTCATTGAAAGTCAAATTCAAAAAGGCTTCACTCTCAAGGTATCAGGTACTTTAGAACACACGGCACTTATGGGTCATATGATAAATAAAGCTTGCACAAAACAGTGCTCTTTGGTTGTTACCCTGCTTGATCTCAAAATTGCTTTTAGTGAGGTCCACCATAATTTGATTCCCACTAGTCTTTCGTACCACCATATACCATCTCATATCCAGGCTCTGGTCTCCAGCTTCAAGACGTCTATCCTCAGAGATAGATTCCAAACCCCTACTATTCTCGTTTGTCGTGGTGTTTTTCAAGGTGACTGCTTCAGCCCTCTTATATTCAATCTATGCTTCAATACGTATATACAATACATTAAAGCAGAAAAATATAAACAGCTTGGCTTTTCTCCCCACGACGAAAACGACCGCATGTACCAGCCAGGGTTGATAAATATGTCACCTTTGGCATTAAGAAAGACTCAACAAGATCTCTTCAGTTCCAGCCAAAGCTTCAGTTCCGTGCCTGTTGTTAGAAATGGACAACCTTTCAAATACCTCAGCCGCTTCTTTGACTTTGAAATGACCAATGCCAGTCGTAAAGAAAAACTGCTATGTTTTCCAGCCTTTTGAAAGAATTTGATGACTTGCCACTGCATCCGAAAAATAAATTTCTATTGTACCACAGATATGTATTGTCCAGACTTTCTTGGCAGTTTACTGTTGCTGTACCACAGATATGTATTGTCTAAAGTTTCTTGGCAGTTTACTGTTGCAGGCCTATCAAAGACCTGTGTCATTGAAAACCTCGATAATCTTGTCTCTAAATACATTTGCCAATGGCTTGATCTTCCCATAAGTGCTACCATCACTAGTATAGTTCTTTCTAAAAATGAATTTGATCTTGATCTTTATCTACCTTCTGTCAAATTCACTCAATGCCAAACTGTTTCATGCAATGCCCTCCGAACTTCTTTTAACACAAACATTCAAGCATTATGGAAAAACACCAGTAGTGGAATGAATCTGCAATACGGCATCTACCGCAACACCAAAGAATTACTGAAAGCAGTAAAATCAGACAGTAGAGAGCGCTAAGCACACCAATTACTATCCCAGGGTGCATTTAACAATGCTTTTGGACCACTCTCTTAAAAAGCTCAATAGTTTTGGTCTACTGTGCAGAGGAATCTACCTACGAACATCTTCAACTTCATCATCAAATACCTGAACAATACTCTCCCTACGCACAAAAATCTGAGCCTTTGGAACCTAAGCCAATCATCTGATTGCGAATTCTGCCTCCTTCCCGAATCTTTACTCCATGTCGTTGCAGACTGCAAAGTTAATCTCGAGCAAGATCGTTATACCTGGCGTCATAATTGTGATCTAAATTTTCTTGCCACCTCCTTGAAAGCAATAAAGGGATCTACTCTTTTTGCCGATATACCTGGCTTCTTCCACCATCCATCATAACAGGAGACAATCTGCGCCCAGATCTAATTTTGCAGACAAAGGAAAACATTTTATATGTTTTAAAATTAACGATAGGATTTGAAACTAACCTTAACTGCAATGCAGAAAGGAAACTTTTAAAATATGCTCGCCTTGTCCCAGACCTAAGACAAAGTTTCAAAACTGCCATATTCATAAATCTCTCCATCAGCTTTCTTGGCATTTTCAGCGACTCATGCCGCTCATTCCTTGAACTGTGTGACTCTCTTTCCATCGACAATCGACGCAAACGATATCTCATTTCCAAGCTTTCTATGATATTACATCTTTTGCTGTAGGAACAAAGCATAGACTAACCCTGAACTACTCCCCTTTTAACTACACACATAACTATTTGTGAATTACGCTTGTTATCTATCTTTATTTTTCTAAACCCAAGCTAGCCAATTGCAAATCACCTTGTAATAGTGAGACTTGTAGTTGTAGTTTAAGTTGAATTGAAAATGAAATGTTTCCTTTCCAAAATCTGTATATTTTCTACAATAATGTCCAAAAATGAAATTTTCCGTCATAGAGTAAAATCATAGAGAAAGCTTACAGTACCTAGGCATTTCTTTGAGTGGGTTCTTAGAGTTCCTGAACCGGACGGACATTGAACACAGCTGGCTTGGCCGCTAATGTTTTGATACATGTTCACTGGGCATCCAAGACAATTCTGCGTTGTTGAATCATAATACATTCCAGGGGTGCAGGCGTCTAGCAATCAAAAGAAATTAATTCAAAACTAGGAGTGACTAGTGTTCTTTAGCTTCTGTTATACAATATATTTGTTGGGGAGACAAACAAGAGAAAGTCTTTTAATAAGTTAAGCAAACCTCCGTCCTTGAATCAAAGAGCATGCGCACGGAATAAGTTCATTACTACGCATGCTTTTTTACCACAGGACGGAGGGTTGGCTAAGACATTTGAACGTTTTCGCTCGTTTGTCTCCTAAAAAAAGATGCTTATCACAACATCATTATTCGCAGACGTCACAACATCTGCATGGTTGAGCATAGCAATAACGGTATTAAAAAAGAGGAAAAATACAATGTTATGTAAACAAAGTGCTAGAAGAAGATGAAAATGATGAGACTGAGAAATAACTCACAACAATAATCCGTAGCCAGATATGAGGTCTTGATATAAGTACTGTTGTCAGGGCAACAGAATTCAGTGCGATCACAGCATCTCGTTCTTGGTGTCCTCAGGATCTTAGCTACCGAAGTATTTTGACAGCTATATGGCCCAAATGTACTAACCGCAGCAGTTATATTTGATCGAAGGTTTTCTACTTCGGCCTCAAGAGCGACAGCACAAGAACGTAGCCTCGCATTGGTCCTGTTTTGTATGGCAACCGATGATGAATACCTTGGAATTATTTGTGATATTAGTGACATGTTTGCTCTGATATAGATAATATGAGCTTTCCCTGACATCTGCATACCTGCACATGCTGGCAATGACCACCTATTAATGTATGTGGTCAGCCATTTAGGAACTATTCTATACGAGAAAGTGGAAACATCGTATGCTCTAACGTCATATGTATTATTTATTCCAATCCAGTCGCAAACATCAACAGTCTTCTTCACTAAAAAATTAAAAAAAGTTGCCAAAAAGTAAAAAGAATTGAATATCTAACTGTATAAAATTTGGATGCTTATCCCAAATTATAATTGATTATAAAAGCAGAAAAATTGCGATGAGCGGCATAACATGCCATAAAAGTAAAATCCAGTACTGGCATATGAAGCAACAAAGTTTTCTATTAGGAACTAATTGGTAACCACTCTGCAAAAACCTTACCGAAGTGATGACGTCACAAAAATATATTTTTAGAATTTTTCAGTTTTGACTATATAATCCCAACAGACATTGTGGAATACCTCTAAATGTGCAAAGTCACCTGCATGTGTTATAAATTGGCTGAGGTATGACCACATAAGCAGAGGCTCTTTCCACATTACACCTCTCTAATTTTATCGTGGTTCATAACTTTATGAATCAGGCAGAACAACAGTCATCTGTTAGCAAACTAGAAATCTTTCATTGGCCATATCTTGGCCAAATTTGAAAATATCTAATTTAAATGATGAGAGGTATTTTGTGCCGTTCTTTCAGATTATGCGGCCAAGTTAAGAACTTCTAAAATGGTTTTTATGAAGTTTCTCTTTGTAAACTTACATGCACAACCGGGTGATGGTTGAGTCCAGCTTCCGCCAGAACAGCGTAAGGTTGGTGACGTCACTGTCTTTTCTGCTATTGTGTAGTTCGTATTGCAAGAAATATTGCAGGATGTTAGGGGCAAATTGACATGACAAGACGCAACACCATTATCCGGCTGAATATTGCATGTTCTGTTGTTCGGACAGCCACATCCTTAATGAAAGTTCAAACACACATAGGTCACACAAAAAAAAGTACAGTGCAATCAAACAAAATTACTAATGTCTTAAAGAAATTCAAAGCTAGATCCCTGTTGAACGTCCACAAATCTTTATCACATCGGTTAAACTATGCCACTACCTGTCTGACATCACACTCATGTTTTATTATAAAAAACAAAGGTCGATGTTGAGACTCCAGTTTCTTAATGTTCTGGAAATTTCAATACTCGTTTTTTCTTAAGAGTTTCTTGTCATGAATGATGTTATGAAATGTTCATGACATTTTTTATCTGGTCAAGAGATTCGCTTTGATGCAGTATTTAGGTGTGGGAAGTATATTTTTACCCCAGGTGTCTTAAGTTCTAGGCGAACAGGGCAATCATGTTCTTGTATTATACGTAATTTCGCTGTTCTCAGTTTTATCACGATTTAATAGTTTCTAATTTTTTTTTGCTTCGAGTACTGAAGTTTCGTAATTTTTCTGACTGTCCAGTACTCGTTTCTTATAGCCAGTTTCTTATAAGAAAAAATGTGTGTATAGACAGAATTTCGCATAACCATCTAACAACAAGCCTAACCGAAGTTTTTAAGGGTTCTACTATAAAAGCATAGATAATAGAAAAATATCTGGTTAGGAATGCCGGCGAACTTCAAAAGGGATTTCTATTATTCTGTTTTTGATGTTGAGCAAGAGATTTTGCAAAGGTCACATGACATTGATGGTGCACAACATTGCGATAATGGCTACGTTGAAAAATGTGCTTCGGTTACTGGGGGGAGGGGGGGGGGAGAGAATTCGATGCAATAATGAACGCAGTTGAAGATAATGGAGGATTAGAAAAGACTCTTGAAGAAGCAATCGATAAAGTAGGTTATTTTTGCATCCATTCTTTAAGAAATATAAATTTTGCGAAACAAACTTCGAGTTCATAATTCCCTCTTGGCCTACCTAGAGTAGATTCTTATTCCAGCCTACCTCGATTTAATTGTAATTGATAACATTCTAATAGGCAAGCGGCACTGATTGGTCAACCTTTACAGTCATGTACTCGTGTTTCTGATTGGCCTATTTCGATCCACAACTGGGTATATATATTTCTTAGCGTAGAGTTTTCGATCTATGTTCTGACGTTTTAAACTCTGAAGAGTGTCAGACGAAAAGCTTTAGTTTACTAAATGTTTGCTTTTTTTCAAAGCCATTTATCTATTTACAAGTTGTATCCTACCAAATACAAGCAAATTAGATATTTAAGTTAGATAATTACCATGAGCATAATATCAAATAAATCCGAATCGATACGATATTTTATGTTTAAACGATGTGAGTAAGAGCTGTTTGATAAGAGTACTCGAAGACAAAGAATTGATTAAATACGAAGGTTCTATTGGGTTAATCTCCCATGCGAATTAGTGGAAAATGTTTTATCATATATACAAATGATTACATTACATTCAGATATAGTTCGACTCAGTGTTTCAACGTCTGAGCATTTTTAATAGTGAAAGACTGATAGAGGTTTATGTTTAGTTTCCCCTAGCCCTTATTCCGCTATTTAAATTATTTTATTCTATTGATCTGTTTCTCATCCTTGCTTACTTAAATGTTTTACTTGTATATATGCAGAACAATCACATGGGAATTACAAGACCGTGATAAAAATTTAGTGCAAAAAGAGTGTGTCAAGATATCTCGCTCAATATGCTGGCCAATGAGTGAACCTCCTGCCTCCTCACGAGTGGGATTAAAAGAGTCGACACACAAAAAAGACCACACAAAAGACACTGCTTGAGAGATGCTCTGGTAATTGCAACAGCATAAACAATATACATATGTTGAGTAAAAAGTTGAGGTTTTACCAACGAATGCTACCAGAATCAATCATATAGAAAAGAGACTTGAGGGAGTTATCAGGAATCAGTTCTAACTTGAGGAAGAACTAGGCTCAGAGTCCAATTACAGTACCAATTTTAAACTCATTTAATGGGATAGATGGTTAACTGCAGAAGGCTCTATTATTCACCTCAGATTTACGCACAATTATCGCATAAAGGGCGTGGTCATGAATATGATTGGCTAATGCTAATACAACTAATCTCTGTTGTTTGTTAACAAGCATAGAATCGAAGAAGATAATAAAAGTCCGAAACAATGGAATATCCACTCACAAACGCTTTTGTTTTATTAGCACAATCTGCATGTAAAACTTCGAGTACATATGCCCTTTTCATAGTCAAATAAGTTCCATCTTCCTCTGGTATTAATTACCAAGTCGCAGGCCTTTTCCACTAGGCTGGGTGGTGGTATAAAAGACTGATTTATGCTACTACCATAAACTGAAGTGCCATAGTAAGGGTGACTCAATAAGTGAGGGATCCCAAATAGGGAGGGTAGCTCGAATGGGATGGTATTCGTTGGTTCTGCCCTTTTAGAGTTACCATTTTTCGCCTGCTATGTTGTATATAAATATTATCATAGTCACGAAACATTAAATTTGTTATAGAATATACTTGGATTGCTTATTTATCAGGCTCCAGAGATAAGATTTCTCTAATTCGATTTGTGAATTTGAACTACTAAATAGGGGATTAGGGGAGGGATATCTATTTGAACAAATTCTTTTACTTTTTAATGTGCGAACCGATCTAAAAATCCTTATAGTCTCCGAAGAAATTATGTAGGTTTTTACTAAGGAATGATTATCATAATAATACGTTACTCTTTCTCATCTCTCAAGAGAAATCAGGCATTAGTGGGTATCTGGTGATTATTGCATTATTGAAATTTCTATAGTAGTTAATTAAACAATGAAACGCGTGAAATATAACCAAAGAAGAACCCGGCTTACGAATACTAACGGGACGCTATAGAACTATAAATGAGTTCGCTGAGATTACAAAATCCACTCATATTACGCTAGTTGATAAAAAGGAATAGTTGACTGACATAATTGGTTTTGAAAATATCAGAAAAAACATAGATGAGTAATAGAGGGAGTGCAATTGTTACTAAATTTTTTTAAGTTCAGAAAACGAACGATATTTGAGCTGCAGTAAAGCAAGTAGGTTATTAAAGTTTGTTAAACGATGTCCTTTTGAATTGTAACAGTATATACTTCACTTTTTTATAATTAACGTATCGATATTACTGTAAGTAAAAAAATTGTCATGATTTTTTAATTTTTATATAGTTTCATTT